CCTACGCCATACAGACATGGAGGGTGCGGCCACCACCACCGCCAGGCTCAGACCCGGTGAGCCGCGAGGCGGGGTGCCCGTGCCCCCCAGTCAACATCAGCACACCCAGCTTGCGGCATACATGGCGAGCTGTGGGCTCTGGGCCAGACGCGCCCGGCGCGGCTGGACCGCGGCGGCGGCCGGGGCGGGGTGTGAGGGCGGCCTCCACGCAGCCCTTGGATGTCGAGGTGTGGTTGCAGCGCTCTCAGCACCAACTTGGGCCACGATGAACCTGTGAGCTGGTGCGTGTTCACACTCATGTTCTGACTGCGCGCCCCGCCTCGCGAGCCGCGCCCCAACCCCCCCACTATCCTCATCACGCGCGCGTGTGCGCTGCCGCAGCCGCCATCCACTCAACCCCTTTATTTGCAGCGAAAGTCCACCTCAGACAGCACCACGCGGAGCAAGTGGCGCCGCACCAAGCACGAGCGCACCCCGACCAGCGACGCCAGCGCCGCGAGCGGCGCGGCGGGCAGCGGCAGCGGCAGCGCCGGCGACGCGGGCGGCGGCGCGAACGATGCGTCGGGGACGCTGTCTGGGGCGGGCCTTAGCGGGGCTGGCGCGATCAGCGTTATACTGGAGGAGCTCCCGCCCAGCCCCGGGGCGGCGCGCGCCGCGGCCGTGGCGTCTTCGTCGCAGCACACCAGCAGCGGGCACCCGGAGGGGGAGCTCTGGTGGGTGGTGATCTGGGGGCTGATCAGGGGCCTCACCTGGGGTGCCATCTGGCGCTGATTTGGTAGCGCTGGCCACGGCTGGGCTTGTCCAGGCTCGACGCGCGCGCACACGTTCGAGGGCGGCGCGCGACCTTCCCCGACCTTCCGTCATCATCAGCAGGCTGCATCAGCAACCTTGGCATTTAATCAAACCCTTGATTTGCCTTGCTGACGGCCCCATTCATCCCTGGAGTGTGGGTATCCCACGCAACCACGCACGGCTCTCTCCCTCGCCGCAGGCTGGTGGTAGAGTACTGCGACGGCCGCACGCTTTCGGACGCCGCCCGCGACGGCCTCCTCGGCCGACGCGGCGCGCCCGACGCGCTGCGGCTGCTGACCGTGCTGCGCGGCGTGGCGGCCGGCATGGCGTACCTCCACAGCCAAAACGTGGTGCACCGTGACCTCAAGGCCAACAACGTGCTGGTGGCCAGCGGGGCCGCCACGGCGCTGGGATACAGGGCCAAGGCGAGGGCCGGCGGGGGGGAGCGAGGACCCGGGGGTGCGGGGCCTAGCAGCCTGGCTTCGTGCGTTGGCTTGCCACTGAGGAACGAGCAGCCGCGAAGCCGGGCGGGAAAGGAGCTAGGGGTGTGTCGCGAGGTCAATCGGCACCGTTCTGCCGAGAGGACGAGGCCGCCCTGCCAGCCGGCAAGGTTTTGGGCAATGAACCGCGGGCGATTTCGTGTCCGGGCGTCCATCAACCGCGGCGCGGCGGACCGCTGGCCTGCGCCTGGCCGCGTGGCGGAGCCATGCTAGGCGCGGGCGGTGGGGCGGAAAGAGTGCGCACCTTCTGCTGTCTGCCCGCGTGCCCGCTGCCGACCGCGCACTGCGCTCCCCTCGCGTTGCTCCTCCTCCTGCTCTGTGTGGTGTCCCCAGGTGACCGACTTTGGCCTGAGCCGCATGATGGGTGAGGGCCAGACACACCGCTCCACCAGGACAGTCGGCACGGTGAGGGTGCGGGGGGGGGGGGTGGCGTTGACTGGGTGGGGCATGAGGTGTTGGGGAGGGTGTGCCAGATGGGCGTCGATGACGAGCGCGTGCTTTATTGATTGGGGGCAGGGATCGAAGTAAGCAGGGGAACTGGATTGAGGTGAATTTTGGAGTCACCAACGGTTTTTTGAACACACCCAGGGTGCCAGCTATGCTGCTGCACAGGTCCGTTGCGGGTCAACCGGCCGCCATCAGCTCCCCACCAGCCCCCCAACATTGCATCTTCCTCATGCCCCCCAGATCACGCACATGCCGCCGGAGCTGCTGCGGTTCGGCCAGCTCAGCGCCGCGGGTGACGTGTACGCCTTTGGCATCATCATGTGGTGAGCGCTTCAAGGGTCAAACCGGTATCCTTCAAGCTGCTTGCTGCAAGCCGCATGGACATGTTTACACTCAGGCTCGTGCGCAGGGATGTGACTTGTCCCCCCGGGGGTGGTCAAGGATTTAACAGGACACCACGGGCTGTGCTGCGCCAGCAAGCCCAACGCATGGAGCCGCTGTTCTCAGCTCTCGTCAAAGGGGCCCCCTCCTCTCGTACCACCCCCCCCCCCCAACAAAACAGGGAGGCGTTCACGGGGGAAAGCGCGTTCAAGGGCATGCACTATGGGGAGGTGCGGTCGCGTGTGTATGTCTTTGTGCGCGCATCAGGGGGGCTTTCAGGTCACCTGAGTCAACCCAGCCCGGGCCCAGGCCCTGTGTCCGCCACGGCCCGCGCCCTCCCCAGCTTCTTGCCTGACTCCTTTTGGGGCTGCCAGTCCTTTTGATCTTTTGCCCCCAAATCCCAATCTGCCCGCTGCGCGCACCCCGGCGACACAGCCCCACTGAATGCACCCACGAACGTGCCAACCTTTTGCCCATTTCTGCCACCGTCGCCGCCCCCCACCCCCCTCCCTGCTGCAGGTGGTGGAGCACGTGCTGCTGCGGGGCTCGCGGCCGCCGGTGCTGCCGGTCATGCCGCAGGCCTACGCCAAGCTCATGACGCGCTGCTGGAGCGCAGCGCCCGGGGACAGGCCGACCTTTGACACAGTGCTGCAGGTGAGGGGGGGCGGGGGCCGCGGCGCGGCGCGCCGCTACCAGCGAGGCGATCGAAGAGCGCGCGTTTGCAAGTGTGGATGCGCGAACGCGTGCGTGCCTTGCGTCCGCACAGCACAGTGCACGTATGCAAGTGAGCGAGCGTGCACGCATGCGGCCATGCGTGCTTCTGATGGGACGCGGCTTCGACATGCGTGTTGTGCCAACGTTGGGGCACCATGGTTCGGCCCTCGCCCTCCCCTCGCACCACTCCGTCCCGCCAAAGCCAGACACGCCGCCGTGCCGCGGCGCCGACCGCCGCGGCCCCCCCTCCTCCCAGGTGTTTGACCTCATGCTGAGGGCGCTGACTGCCAGCACCAGCAGCACACGCAGCACACACAGCACACACAGCACACGCAGCGCCTCCACCACACAGCCCAGCGACATCCAGCCGGCGACCGGGGACGGCGGCGGCGCGGCGCGGGGCGCGCAGCCGCTCTAGTCGGGCGAGATGCCGGGGGTGGAGGACATATGAGGGTGGCGCGGGGCTGAGGCACTCGGGCGTTGAGCCGGGGTCGCCGCCTCGCCCTGGTCAGCGGCCGCCTCTGCTGCTTGGGTGGGGCCCGTGGCCCTCTGCAGGGCGGGGGGTTGCATGCATCTGCCAAGACACGTGTGCTTTTGGGCTGGTCATGCTAGCACTACTGGCTGCTGGGTGGCAGCGGGGGGACTGACTGGGGATGCATTCAGCTGGCAAGTCCCATCACAATCGGTTCGTGGGCCTGATACTCGGTTCGGTCTCATGCGTGTATTGTCATGCAAAGTAGGGGAGGGGGGAATCTTCACGGCCACTGCCGCTTGCGTGCGGCTTGCCTCAGATACACCATGAGGCACTGCCATCCCGCAGGGCCGCCACTCCGGCCGTTTTTTCTCCTCTATGCTTCGCATTTCCCGAGCTGTACTGAGCACTTGAGGGTGGGTGGTTTTCACTCAGCTTGCAGCAACCAACCGCTCTTCCCCCACCGGTTCTGATCTGCCGGTGGCGTTGCATGAAGTGCCGGTGGCGCTCGCGCCGATTTCTGGCCACTTGTGCCAAGAAGGGACTTGCGCACTGGGTCGGTCGGTCGTGACCAAAGCACGGCAGCGGCCCGCCCCCTGCGCCGCCACCCCTGCTTCACGGGGGATGCGGAAGGGCACGGCCGGCTGCTGCTGTGCACTTCACTGCTCTGCACTTCCTTCCAGGTTTCTTCAGACGGATTCTGCTGCAGCTCATGCATGGCCGCTTAGGAGGGCGTGCGGCCACGCACCTCTTCTCTACCCACCATCCCGCCTGCCCGCATCAATTCCCCAGCCCCACCTGTAAGCGGTTGCGCCCTGCCACCATCTCCAGCTAGGCGTATGTGCACCTTCATGTGTGTAAGCACTGATGACTGGAGCCTTGAGCGAACACGCATCGCTCTTGACTCATCCAACACAACGGCACTGGGCCGCAGTGCCACCTCGTGCTTTGGCGCACCAGACGAGTGACGGGCGCAGCTGCTCGTGCTGACACCAGGCAAACAGGTCAGCGCCGCCAAGCCTGCCGGTCATCACAAGGATAGACGCAGTGCCTTTGCCTGACCCATCGCAATCGTCATCACCGAAAGCCTTCCGAGGCGATCATAGATCATCCCCGCTGATGTTCTCGGGCCTAAGCTCTCTCAGAAAGGACGAAAAGAAGGAGCCAACATCTCAGAACAAGGCTCTGCAGGATTACCTCAAAAAGTACACATCTGATGGGGCAGATGATGGCGAAAAGAAGAAGAAGCGCAAGAAAAGGCCGAAAGCGGAGCAAGGTGGCGCTGTGCAGATCGTAGACGCTGATCTGACAGGCTTTGAGGCCGTGCAGGCGGCCGCGGAGCGCAAGCGTGCAGCGGCGGCACGCGGCGGGCCGCCTGTCGCGGTCGATGGCAGCGACGAAGAGGAGGCAGGTGCGCGCTGTGGTATGTCATGGCACGCTGCATGCTGCACATTGAACGAAGGTGTATATCGAGTCCAGCGATACCGCTGTGAGAGGGGGCCATGCCGAATGCCTGCAAATCAACAAACGAGGGCTGCACGTGGCGGCGGGCGCCACTCACATTGCTGTTGTGTGCCGGGCCCCGTTGCAGCCCCCTCCACGTTAAAACGCCCTCCCCGCCGCAGAGGCTCCCACCATTGCCAACCCTGAGGAGCTGGAGATATACCGGCTGCAGCAGGAGAAGGTGCGGCGCAGGCAGGAGGGAATGCCGGAGCGCAATTGACGGGGGGTGAATCGCCCACCGCTCATCTACTGCTGCTTTTCACTGCTGCAGCGGCAGCCAGCAGCACCTTGGGTTGGACATGCGGCGAGCAACTCGGCCGTTGGTGGGCACTCGCCCTGCGCGCGGCGCAGCAGTTGGGTGCGAAATGAGGGGGTTGAAGGGCAGGATGTTGCTGAAGAGCAGCTATCATTGCGGCTGCGTGGCCTTGGAAAAAACGGCGATCCGAAACCTCTCGGCCTTTTGCAGGCCAAACGTTTCTTTGAGAAAGAGAAGGACGGCCGCGGCTGGGAGGCGGTGAGGGCCGGCGGGGCGCGCAACGGTGGCGGCGGGGACGCGTCGCCGCCCCGGCGCGGGCGGCGCGGCAGCCCGAGCGCGTCGCCACCGCGGCGGGCGCGGCACGACACGCCCGACGCCTCCCCCCCGCGGCGGGCGGCGGGGCGTGGCGGCAGCCCGGACGCATCGCCCCCACGACGGGCGCGGCACGACAGCAGCCCGGACGCGTCCCCACCGCGGCGGGGGG